AATATAAGTATTTTTTGTGCATTTTTAAGAGGAGATATATATATATACACACACATACATATATATGTATATATATGTATGTATATGTATATATTTATTTTAGGGAAGGGGCTACAAGGTGTTCAGTTCACTAGATTGGACTCATAGTGATCCACCTGTTTACAGCCTCCCAAGAGCTGGGATTACAGACATGTACCACCACGTCCAGTATTTTTCTCTTTATTTATTTATTTATTTATTTTTCCGGAATCAAGGATTGAACTCAGGCCCTTGTGCTTGCCAGGGAAGTGCTTATTCCACTGAGTCATCTCCCCAGCCTTCTCGATTTTTTTTTTAAAGAGGTTTTTTTTGTTTGTTTGTTTGTTTGTTTTTAAACTTGTTTACTTGACAAAGTTACCAAGTTCCTGGAAATATCAACAAAATGTTTGGTGTTCTGGAACATAACTCCTTATTTCTCAGAGCTCCCTTATTCATGAACCTGGAAATAAAAATATCTTTCAAACAACTTTGACTTACTTAGTCATTGAAAAATGATTTTGAGGGCCAGAGAGATGGCTCAGTAGAGTAAGTGCTTCCCTGGCAAGCACAAGGGACTGAGTTCAATCCCCAGTTCCACCAAAAAAAAAAAATCATAAAAATGATTTTGAGTCACTGCTATTAATGGACTTTTCAATCTCGTTTACTTTTTAAAAACTTGTTTTTCAATGCAGTTTTACCAGAGTTAATAGTCTTACTTTGAAAATGTGGATTAACAGGGACAACTGACAGAGGAAGAGGGTCTCACAGGAAAATGCCTTAATATCAGTAAGAGACAGTGATGGAGAGAAAAGGGGGGAAAAGCCAGAAATACTTAAACCTTAAAACAATTGCTAAAGCTATTTGTTGTACAATTAAACAGATTAGAAGGGCTCCATTATTTCTGAGGGAGGAGTTGCTGTATTGTATAATACCTAATAGGCAGTTTACAAATGAATTGAGAACGATCAAGAAAAATTTAACCAGTTTAGAATAATTATGTGTCAAATGACAGAAAATATTCATTTTAGATTTTACAAAAATTATTAAATACCTGCAAGGAAAAAAGCACTTTAGAAAATTTTTTTGGGCCAGCAAGATAGCTCAGCAGTTTATAATCTAGTTAGGAAATCAGATTAATGTTAATAAAGTTACAAAGCATTAAATCTGTAGTTTTCAGTTGGGATGTGAGGTTTTTAAAAAACTAACTGTGGGCTGGGGAGATGGCTCAGTAGAATAAGTGCTTCCCTGGCAAGCGCAAGGGCCCAAGTTCAATCAAGATTTTGCTTTGGTAGAAAATGAAATAGCCAAGGGGAATAAATGTGCTGGAGTGTCCATTTTATATGTGTTCACCTTATTATCTCTTGCTTTACATAAATGCAACCTGGCCATCACTCTGAGTTAACAGTAAGCAGTTTTTCATGCCTATGGTAAAAGGGATCCATATTCATAACGGTTCTCCTGAAGACGGCAAGATTTCAGACTGGTTAGGTTATAGCTTTTTACTTCGTTTTTTCCCCCTTTTTTGTGAAGATTGGTGATCCAAGCATTGTTTTTCACATATAACTTTTTGATAACTACACAGAAAAACTATAATAAAAACACAGAAAATTCTTTCAGAAAGTTTGCAGTTAATATTCACTACATTGTTAGAAGTATCAAATCTAATCCTTCTTGACACAGTTCCAACAGATGAAGAAGATGAAATGGAGGAATCCACAAATCGACCAAGAAAGAAACAGAAAACAGAGCAGTTAGGACTAACAAGGGTAGGTATTAATAAGAACTGGCTGTACTTGACTTAGATCTGCAATGACAAATATATGAGAATTCAATATAGTCATTTATTTATATTTCCTTTTGTCTTGCCTTATTTCTTCAA